TTTTTTTTCATATTTTCATCCACCCCTCGATCCGAACTATTTTAGCGCCTGTATTTTCATCCAGATCGTCCAGCTTTACGGTTCTGATCACTGCTCCTTGCCTCTGAAGTGGAGGTTTTGTCCGTTTTCAGTTCCCCACTAAACCCAGTTCTAGTCTCTTAAATACGATCTACATTTACAGTTGGTCGTGGTTTCGTAAATCCCGTGTTTGTTTCTAGTGCGCTCCGGGATTTGAGCTCGATTCTAAAGGCATCAGTCTTGTTCTAGTCGTCTAAATCCTGCTCATGATATTTACCGCTTTTGGCTGTTACATCACGGATTTAGGTTCAAGTTTTTTCTTGACAGTATTTTAGATATTGTGTTTAGCTGTTATTTTTTTGTTTGCTCTTATTAGCTCAAGCCCTTTCTCATCCACATAATTCCGTATAGCCCTTCAATTGAGTCTTCCCATCACACTCTTGTGTTCCGGTGGTCTTTTAGCAGTTGGTGGGTATCATTCAGTAACTCGCTTTGTCTGCTTGTTGTCTCAAGTTAAACTGAAATAACCGAAGATCGTTGTATTTCATAAGGATGCTACTGCTCTGCTATTTTAGCGTTCCCCGTCTTTTTTTTTATCACTTCGGTGTACTTTTAAACTGGAGTATGTTTTTCCAAAAATTCCAGATGACAGTATCTTGGGATCCGCCGGCGATTGATCAGCGAAATGGAAATATCACTTACTATCGTGCCATTCTGACACCACTGCAAGCGGGTGGCGAGAAAATTGTCAAAAATGTGCGTCATTCTTTCAAATCTAAGTAGTAAATAATTTTAATAATAAAACGCTTCTTGTCTGCTGAAAGTCAGAGATTCGATTTTGCCACGGTAACAACAATCTTGATTTTAACAAGTAGCATGCATTAGAGCGACAGCTATGGTTGGAATAAGCGGAACTCTGAAAAAAGTACAGATAGTGCTTTCCCATTCTAGTAACAAGCTGAAACAGCTGGTGGACAAAGCGGATTATTGAACGGTACTTGCCTCCTTAAAACAACCCATAGAAGAGCGTCACTGCCTTGGAAGGACTCGCTTGAACAACCATACGGAATTACATGAATGAGAGAGACCAAAAACAGAGAAAAATGGAAATGTGACCAGATGCATCAATGAAAAGAAGTGACACGACGGTGAAACAACAGCTGATCAAAGCAATAACTTGGACTATCGGTTTTCTATGCGTTATTTTCAGGTAACAAATGGTCGTTCAATAACATACGATGCACGTGCTCGGAAAGCATTTACATTCAAAGTAGCGGCAGCAACAATGAAAGGTATTGGCCCCTATTCACCGGTGCTCTCCATCGATCCAGATCCAGCAAGTAAAATTTCATTTTAAATCCTGGATATTCTCGGAAGACACATTTTCTGCCGTCTGCGCTGTGAAGTCTGCGCCAGACATCGGAATTCTTAAATGAGTAAAATTAATGCACACGGTTATTACAAGAAATCCGCTATTTCAGGCGTTCAATTTAAAAAAAAAACTTTAAAAAAAGTAAATAAAGGCAAAAAAATTGCAAATATTAATTTATATTTGTAAATATCTATCTGCATTTGCTAAATATTTGTTTAATATTTAATACTAACTTAACAACTGGAATAGAGTTAGACCCAGTCTGATTCATTTTGTTGATTATTTTTGTTGTAGTCTTGGCGATGTTTTGCACGTCGTATGCATCAAACTAATTTGCCCTGTAAAAGCAAAAATTAATATTTTTGCTAAAAAAATATTTTTTGCCTTGTGAAGCCAAAAAGTGGGAGTCCTCGTAGCCAATCTCTATCAGAGATGGATAGGGGGAGGAGGCTTGAAAGCAGCTTGAGTACTAGCTTGTGCCTAGCTAGCAACCTCATGATCCAAAACTGTCGATAGTTCTTTCAAGAATTGCTCTCTGGCATATGTCAGTGCTATTTTTTCACTGAAACGGACGTACAAATCGTAGAGGGATTGGTTATCCCACTGGCAGTGTTGAACCCTTGTTCTTCAGCACGACAGTCGTGGTACTTGCGCTGCACTGTGTTGGGCGATTAACAGAGCGTAAAAATAACCACTTTTGGAGTTTTGCAAATTTGGTTGACCACAGGTCCTCTCTGTGGCTGCGCTTCTGACTGTGGCTTGTCAAACGTGTACATATATTGTGAATAGGTGTGTACGAAGTGTGTGTGTGTGTGTG